TGAAAGTAGTAGCATCAGAAAGAAAAAAAATAAGTGTTACATATACTTATATATATTAATACAACCAGGTGTTTTAATCTACCTCTATCGTCAAGGAATTCTGCTTCGAACTGGATTGTGTCAGAAAGTAGCTATTGTGCCATCATGCGCTCACAGTATCGTCCATAAAGTTTTTACTGTCCACGCGTGCGGTCAGACCTTATGGTTTCAGTAAGCAGCATGTTATTCAGTTCCCTCTCTCACATGTGTAGCTTCTCTTTCACTCTTTAGTTGGTGTATGAGAGCGACTACTAGTGCACGTTCACATACACCCCTGCTACTGCCATTTATTGAATGGCAAACGATCCAAAGTAAGTTATCTGCCCATTTCTTTGGATCTGCTCTGAAATTGAGTGGGTTCTTCCCTCGGGCCATGTCCATCCCCTCCATAAAATGATATGGAAACAGGTGATAACATTAAAAGTAATCAGGTCGTTGCTTCAAGTGATTTCTTTCCTTTTTCTTTATCTGACAAATGGCTTCATACAACCTTTCACACGTAGTTGTTCTCTCCAAGACATGAAAGCAGACCGTGATGTGTGGAATCAATGCTGCTCCAACTGGAGTACATACTCCACTATCGTGTGACTATACCACATTTACTGCACTGACAGCACTTGACCTTTTTAATGACTCATTAAAATTAACACTATAATAAACATTTAACAGTTATGAGACAATCACTCTCTCTCTCTCTCACACACACACAACACATCCTTAATAACAGGAAAAGCGGTGGCAGCGCAAAAGACCAATTAAATATGTGAAGGTTGAACCTTTCAAAAAATACTGTTCATTAGGGGAATTATTTTATTTTCAAACGTGGACATCTCTCCTATATGCGTTTTCATGGTTTTATATTGATATGAAAACTGTCGGAGACACTGTGGACAGTGGTTAACACATTCCTCCAACAGCAAGAAGTGAATGTGATTGGTTGGATGGTTATCAAAGGTGTAGCCCACCTATCGCCCAATGTCAGCTGAGATTGGCTGCAGCCCCCTTACAACCCTTGAAAAGATAAGCGGTATAGATAATGGATGTATGTGTGACATTTACTTTATTTTCTCATCATGCTCACGTCTTGCTTGGTCAACGGTGCAATTCAGTAAAGATCTCAGCAATAAAATAAATCCAGGTTTTAAAAGATCAAAGTCACATTGTCTTTCGTCAACGTGGCCGGGGATTTGCATCAACCAACATCCACTCGTGTCAGACGGGAGGGGCGTTTAAACTCATGATATGGCTTCACTTCATATCAACTTAAAACAGCATATCATTTTAGACACAATTAAATGTTACTTGCGCCATTTCGTTTCCAAGGTAACAAGAAGGGTATATTTAGAGTACTAAACTGAGACAGAAGAAAAAAGTGTTAATAATCTTGATGTAGCAATTACAATTAGTCAAAGTCAAATAGTAAAGATCAAAACACCTCATCTGCTTACAGTTGAAGGTGAGAGAATGCTCAAGAACAAGCATCCGGCTCATTCATCAGCACCACTTCTGACACTCGCTGATTCATATGGTACAGTAGAGGCTTCACTTGAGCTACTCATCAACCTCCGTTCAGGAGAAATACAGACGTCAATGAATAAAGTGTTTGTGGTTTTATATGTTTAGCTTTTAATCCACGTCTAATGTGATGTCAAACATGAGTTGTGCAAGAAATGTATCAGAACAGCACATAGACATGAGAGTTAAAAATCTTCAATGTACAAAAATCCCCTTTTCGTTGAACTCTTCAGTGTGTAAACTCAAACTTGTCACTTGAAACAGAGTTTGGTTTAGTTTATTTAAGGATCCCAGTTAGAAGCACATGGTTTTTCATCTAGTTTATATGGTCCTGAATGTAAAAATACAACACAGACATACAATGTAGAGCAAACACACACAATTTAAAATCAACCTGAGCAGATTGGATGAATTTGTATCAGACTTAGTACAAATTATACATAAAAACAGAAACCAAACAAAACCAAGGAACACACACAAATCAAGCAGACTAATCCCATGAATGAAAGAAAAAAGATAAAGAGATTAAAGTGACAAAGAATAATAATGGTAAAAAAA